GTCCCGGTTGGTGGCACCAACTGGGACCAAAGACTTCTTTTCAGCAGCCCAAAGGGTGGGAAGCAAAGACCTTTGGTCCCGGTTGGTGCCTCAAACCGGGACAAAAGAGAGGCATTGTCCCGGTTTTTGCCACCAACCGGTACCAATGCACCCCATTAGTCCCGGTTCGAGCCAGCAACTGGGTCTAAAGGCCTTGCGCTGGCACGGTGCAGTGGGATGTTTAGTCCCACCTCGCTAGCTGAGGAGCGGTCGCACCTGTTTATAAGTGCAACTCTGCCCTCCCATTTGAACTCCTCACTATTGCAGGCCTACTGGCCTAAACTTGTGTCTCTGCCTGTGGGCCTACTAGGCAGTCTGCAGGCCTGAATCCTGGCCCAATAAGGTTTCTAGTCGTATTCAGGCCGTGGTGGCCCAGTAGGTGGCAAATTTTTTATTTTTTTTCCTTTTTTGTTTTCTTTTTTGCTTTATTTATTTTATGATAATTCTTTTTGCTATTAAAATTTGTAACAAAATTCTAATTAATTAATTATTTTCTTTTAGATAATTCTTTTTGCTTTTAATGTTTTGAACAGAATTCTAATTACTTATTTATTTTCTTTTATGATAATTCTTTTTGCTATTAAAGTTTGTAACAAAATTCTAATTACTTATTTATTTTCTTTTATGATAATTCTTTTTGCTATTAAAGTTTGTAACAAAATTCTAATTACTTATTTATTTTCTTTTATGATAATTCTTTTTGCTTTTAATGTTTTGAACAGAATTATAATTACTTATTTATTTTCTTTTATGATAATTCTTTTTGCTATTAAAGTTTGAAACAAAATTTTATATAATTTTATTTTCAATAATACTAGAGGTTTATAAAAGCTTTTTAGTTAATTCCTTCAGTACCAGTTCTAAGGCTGTTACAAAGGCATTTTATTTGGTACAGGTTTTAAGGCGACCTTTTAGTACCGGTTCGTGGCATGAGCCGGTAAAAGAGGTGCAGCTGTTTTTTAGTCCCACCTCGCCAAGCGAGAGGCACTCGCAGTGGTTTATAAGCCCCGAGTGCAGAGACGATGCAGAAGAGGCTCATTGCTAACCTGCACGTTGCTTAGCTTTAAGCCTTGAGGAATAGGGTAGACTGCACGGAGCTATGTGCAGTGCAGTTTAAACTATTCCGAAAGGCTTGAAGCTAATTAACGAGCACTGCGCCTCTTTTTTATTTTTAATGACTTATTACAACTCAGAAAAAAATAGAAAAAAATAAATATAGCAGAAAAAAACTATATAAAAAACTACTCAGAAATAAATAGAAGAAAAAATAGTTGTGATTAACTTTACTAAAAAATGAGCATAGATGCGCTTATAGAGAAAATTCAACCTAAACTCATAATAAATTTCTACTAACTTCAGAGAAATTCAATATGAATTTAGGTCAAATTCCCTATATAAGGGCATCTATTTTCACATTGAGAGGGCTCAACAAAGCACAGAGGGAGGGCTTATAAACGGGTGTGAGCGCCCTTCGGTTGGCGAGGTGGGACTAAACTTTGACCGCAACGAGGACCAACCCTTTAGTACCGGTTGGTGGCACGAACCGGGACTAATGGGCTGCCTTTGGTCCCGGTTCGACCCACCAACCGGGACCAAAAGTTCCAGACGGACCGGGACCAATGGCCCACGTCGCCCGGCCGACCCCCGGGGCTCACGAACCGGGTCCAATGGGCTGACCCGGCCTGGACCAATGCCCCCTTTTCTACTAGTGCTTCTATGCCGTCTGCTAGCAGACCACAAAGAGACGGCTGACGACAAACAATATCTTTGCCATCCGCTCCTTCTTTGCCGTTAGTTTTATGTAAGCTGATGGGCGAAGACCATCTTTGCCATCAGCTAGCAGACAACAAAGAGACGGTTGACGGCAAAGATCCTTATTCAATTAGTGTTGGTATGACTTTGTTAATGATGGTAACTTCATTGCATACATTACTAACTATATATGCTACTATTATGTTGTTCAACAGAAGCTCCTGAAGGAGGTTGTGCCTGACATGATGCTTACGAAAGGTCATATGTATCTGGTTAGGTTACAACTGTTTCCTCCGACCGCTTACCAAAGTGCATACTCTATTTCTTTGAAACATGTGAGGCTCAATATCAAAGAATGGAGCAAACTAATGAATGTACGCACGCAACCAATTGGACACAACATGAATGTGCGCAAGCCACAAGTTGGCGACATGTGGATCTCCATTCTCCATTTTGGAGATGGACCGGTTTACGTGTGTTATCATATTTTACATAAGGGTAGTAAGAACAATTAACTAGTGTTGATTATGACTATGATGATGAGATGAGTTGTTATATGACTCACAGGTGATGATGAGGAGTTGTTATATGACTATGATAACGATGATGATGAGTTGTTGTAATTATTATTATTATTATTATTATTATTATTATTATTATTATTATTATTATTATTATTATTATTATTGTTGTTGTTGTTGTTGTTGTTGTTGTTGTTGTTGTTGTTGTTGTTGTTGTTGTTATGATGAGTTGTTATTATGACAATGATGAGTTGTTATATCATTGGCTACAAGGAGAAGAAACACGGATTAGAGATCCATCCACTTGAATCTAATCCATGTTTCTTTCACTGTACCCAGTGATATAATAATTCGTCATGATGATACTAATATAACAATCTCTAAACTGCTACTATATGAAAACTTGTATAACGGTGTATAAATACTATATAAAACAACAGCGAAATGGAATACGGAATAATAGTAGTAGCGCGGGGTTAGGGCACACTGCTAGTAATTAGAAGTAGTGCGTGCTTGAGCATGCGCTACTGCTAACTGTGTTAGCAGTAGTGTTGGCCAAAACAACGCTACTGGTAAAACTTAGCTGTGGCGCGGTAGCAGTAGCATTGGCACCTGTGCTACTGCAAGGCCTTTATCCCACGCTACTACTAGGATTTTCCCTAGTAGTGACATGAGATTTTTTGAATGTTTGTTTCATAATATAATAAAAATACTGGAAGACATGAGCACTAAAGAAGAGCCTCGGTTGGCCCACAAACCAGGGGGTATCTACCCCAGGGCACGCCAGGGTATCATATGTGGCCCATATAGGTCCACTAACGATGTCCCTCCCCTATATGAAGCCTTTAACCCTAGTAAAATTCAAGAGAACACTTTTGGGACTTTCAGCCACTGTCTCGAACCGACAACATCTTTAGTTGGGGTTAATTCAAGCCGGGAAGGAGAATTGAAGGGGTACAAAACTTTAGGTCTATTGTTTGGTTAGGGGGCTTGAGAATTCAGAAGACATTGGGCATGGGAATTGAGACTCCAATTCCCATTACTTTATTAACAGGGGAGAGGGTGAGAATTGAAAGTGAATTGTTATCGTGAGTTCATCTTAACTCTTCATCATAATTTACGTTGTCTTTCCATATCTAATACCTTGTCAATTCCCACAAACCAGACAAGGGATTAATGTTTGCCCCAAATTACCCCATATATTTCCTATCATGTGTCAAACAGAGGATGGGAATTAAACGACTCATCCTAGTCTTATCTCAATACAACTCCCAGCTCTAAACTCCTATCCCACTTTCTAAATATTGCCAAACACACTGTGAGAACCAGGACTGAAACCAGTTCATGGGTTTCACCTCTGAATCTCTGATCATGGTATGTACGAACGTGAGGGGTGTGCTGGACCACATCCCCTTACCTTTCACTCGGTTGTTGGTGAGATTGATTCCAACAACAATAAGTCATTTCATTTATTTTCGTGAACTATGGTCCATAGTTTTTGTTATCTCGGCAACTAAGTCCTGTTACCACTCAAAACCCTCAGGTCCTGGTTAAGAAATAACTATCGCAAAAAAAGAACGAATTATCGCAGGGCCAAATTTTAAAATGCATTATTCAGGTCTGCTGCTAGCTAAAGATGTTCAGTTCTACATTGATCTGATGTGGTTTTTGTAGCTTTGCATAGAAAACAATACTGCCTTCAATTCTCCCCCCATTTCTTCATGCTAGCTAGTGACGATCTGTTCCAGCCCAACACACTTTTATGATTCCGAGGCATTAGTTTGCTCTAACGGACCAGGTTTGGCTGTGTATTTGCCGATCATGGACAAACTGGAGGAGTATCTATCTAGTTTCATGATTGTATTTTTGAAGTTAGGCATATGGACGGACTCTCGAATCTCGAGTAGAGTTCTCTGTTTCTCGCAAAGGTCATATTGATGGTTCCCCACACAGTTTGTGATTTTGCATATAATATAATACAGTGGCCAGTAGAGGTACCTTTAACCAGTGCTCAACAAAGTTGCTAAAGTTGGAAGACTAAGATGAAGACCTAAAAGCATTCGATTGATTGGAGATGCAAGTTTTCAATTAGTGTGGGAGGATTGCATTGTCTACCACTTGCTTTAGAGGAAAGCGATGTGCCCAATCAGCTACAGAAAAAGGATTCTTTTAGAGAGAAAACATATATTTGTATTGGCACACTTGGGTTCACCTCTTGCTGTCAAGTTGAGCATTCGTATTCACTCTTCTCCCGAGAAGCCGAGGTCTCCTGAAATGAGATGGCACCTGGCAGACAAGATAGTATCACGTTTAGCAAAAGCATGATTTTTCTTTTTGACATTTAGCAAAAGTATCTATCTTTTCTTTTTGTGGGACGCAATCAATCATGTTTATTTTCTTTTCTTCTGGAGGAAGAGAATCAGGATTCCAAAGAGTGCATAAAGTTTGATATGGGCATCTTAATGTAATAATGAATCTGTGTAAGTGGGAGCTCCAGTGATGACTGAGACTGACTGACCATAATCCGTGTGAAAGCCTTTGCAGGACCGCATCGATAGACAGTTTGTCTGTCCACTCCATGGAAGAATTCTCCAACTAGCTCTACCACTATATAATACTAGTAGTAAGAGTAACAAACCCATAGCATCATCATCGCCAGACACCATATATCACCACCACAAGTTCACCATGACGACCTACCTGCTGCTGCTCCTCCTCCTGGCTGCGACAATCATGGTGGTGGCCAGCCAGCAAAACCCTCCTAGCACACCGGCACCGATAACGCTGCCGGGGTGCCCCGACAAGTGCGGCAAAGTGAGCATCCCTTACCCCTTCGGCATCAAGGATGGCTGCTACCTCCCAGGCTTCCACATCATCTGCAATGACACCTTCCATCCCCCCCGCGCCTTCTTTCCCGCTGATAATCCTTTAGGCTGGACGCAAACCAGAACCGAAGTAATCTACTACTCCACCAGCCACATCCCCGAGCCAGATAAGTTTATCAACTCATCCACGTCGCCTGTCGAGCTCTCCGGCGTGTCCCTGGTGGAGGGGAAGCTACTGGTGCAAGCCCCGTTCAGCTACGACTGCACACTCAACTTGTCGTGGAACACGGCGAGAACGATGACTATGCAATTCCCGTATGAGAGTAAGTTCCTCCTGTCACATGGAAGCACCGTGCTGATGGGCATCGGGAGCTCTGCCCAGGCCCGTCAGGCCCTTGGTCCCAGTTGTGACACGTACGAGGGACTCTACCTCCCCAAGGGCATCAACACGACGGCGTGCTCAGGGTTGGGCTGCTGCCAGGTCGCCATACAGCCTGAGCCGCCCAAACCGGGCTTTTTCAACGTCCACGTGTATCTTGAGAGGGAGTACTACAGAACCAAAGATTACGGAACCAGAGGTTGCTCCTACGCCATGCTTGTGGACAAGTCCTGGTACAACTTCACGACCATGGACCTCGACGGCGACGTTTTCTTGCGGAGGAACGACGCCGGAGGGGTGCCCGTCGTGCTAGACTTCGTGGCCGGTTTTCATCCATGTCCGCGACCTCACCAACCAGAGCCCAAGGGATACGCGTGCACCAGCCACAACAGCATGTGTGTCGAAGTCCCCTTGTTGTACACCGATGGGTACATCTGCAGGTGCATTGACGGGTACGAAGGCAATCCTTATATACCAACTGGTGGTTGCCAAGGTAAAATACTAGACCTTGCATCAATTCATCTAGTAGGAGTATCTGTGGCATTAATTCATCTATCTATTTATATTAACAACTATGCACGCTTGCCTGGTTTGTAGACATTAATGAGTGTGAGCGGCCAGATCTGTACCCTTGCCATGGGATATGCCAGAACATGGTAGGAGGATACAAATGCACCTGCCCTACTGGAACCAGGGGCAATGCCACACAAGGGCGTTGCACCGATATATTTCCTCTACAAGCAAAGCTGTCACTAGGTAACCAACTTAATTACCCTCAACCTATCATCTAAAGAAACAACCCAATCAAGATGAGTACGCATATGATTTGGCAAATTTGTTTGACTGTCTTTATATATTGCGGCATAGTCTGATCCAACTTTTTACTCACTGACCTTATATCGGCTCGTTGATCACATAATCACAAAGGTTCACTTGTGCACAAGACCTATAAATGGTTTGACCTATAAGGTATATGATGTGGTTTCTTTGCTCCCCGTATATAGGTGCAACCGGCGGTCTTTTTCTCATAGCACTTTTCGGGTTTGTCGTTCTTCTCCGTAGAGAGAAACGAAAGATGAGACAATTTTTTGAGAGAAATGGCGGCCCTGCACTAGAAAAGGCAAAAATAATAAAGATCTACACAAGAGACGAGCTCAAGCAGATTATAAAAAGCACAAATTTTATCGGCAAGGGTTGCTATGGTGAAGTTTACAAGGGCTTTCTTAATAATCAACTAGTTGCCGTAAAGAAACCCATTAAGGACAATATTGCACCAAACGAGCAATTTGCAAACGAAGTCATTATTCAATCTCAAGTCATCCACAAGAACATTGTTAGGCTCATAGGTTGTTGCCTGGAAGTTGATATGCCGATGCTAGTTTACGAGTTCCTCTCCAGAGGTAGCCTCGATGACACTCTTCACAACAACAACAACGACGACAAGAAGGTGACTCTTGACTTAGATAAACGTCTAAATATTGCTGCAGAATCAGCCGATGGTCTTGCTTACATGCATTCAAAAACTAGCAAGACAATTCTACATGGTGATGTGAAACCAGCAAATATACTCTTGGATGATGAGTATGTACCAAAGATATCTGACTTTGGTATATCAAGGTTGATAGCAAAAGATAAAGAGCACACCTTAACAGTCATTGGCGACAGGACTTACATGGATCCAGCATATCTACAAACTGGCCTACTGACAGAGAAAAGTGATGTCTACAGTTTTGGAGTTGTACTGTTGGAACTTGTAAGTGGGAGGAAGGCCACATATTTGGATAATAATAGCTTACTAAGAAACTTCCTTGATGCTCAGAAAAAAGAGAAGATACCAACCGAGTTGTTCGACAAGGAATTTGAAGAACCAAGAGATTTGGAGCTTCTTAGTAGCATTACAAGGGTTGCCATGGGATGTCTTAGTCTTGATGTGGATGAAAGACCAGCAATGACGGATGTAGCAGAGCGCCTTCTCACATTGAAGAGATGTCGTGTGTAGTTATAGATATAAATGTATGCATGCTTTCAGATTGTAGTACGAAGAACATGTATGCTTTGCTCAACAAGATAGGTATGAGTTTCGTCCAACTGTTTTCATGTAATAGAAGCGGGGAGGTGTGCCTTTGCTCTAAGAAAACTATGAATGAATTCGTAAGATCTGGAAGTAAAAGCGTGTTTATGGCAAGGAATCTCAATGGATTAATAAAATTTATCTTCTGATAGTATTAGCCTTTTGAAATATAATGGTCGGTGTTGGTTGTTGATTAGCTTGAATATCTGATAGCCACAACATGCTGATATAGGGCATGAAATTGGAGTACCAAATATTACTCAGTGGATTTGTGGACTATCTATGTTGCTTCATAATATGCATGTTCAATGCATTTGAACAACTCTGGGGGTAATGATGTCTTGAAATGCTTCATGTGCAAAGATCTTCACCTTCAATGCAGCCTTCGGTTTCTTAATGCTGATGACGCCACATTTTCAGGAAGCAGCACCACCCCACCATTTTCTTCTTTTTATTTTCATACAAAAACCACTCCACTCATGTACTTACAACAAACTAGTCCCCAGAAAAATATATACAATAAATTCAGTTTCAATATTGCAACCAGCAGACCCCCCTTGTTTTCCTTTTGAGCACTCGCAACCCTGCTTGTGGACCCAGTTGTAAGCGTGTGTATAGTAGGGAAACCATATCCACCAACCACCACTCATTGCCGCCCAATGCCATGTGTTTGCTCTTGGGCCTCAGTGGAGTTGAGATGGCTGAAGCTTTTGTTTTGGTGTCTCGCTGCTGGGTGGAATCTGGTGAAATTTTTGTTTTGGTGTCGTGGTTTAACTAAAACTACCACCACAATTCTATGATCCATGCAGTACGGCATCAGTTTCTTCTTCAGAGGCCAGCGGTTATGAGTGAACTTTATCAATGGGTCTATCCTGTGATAAAGAGGTACTCCTCGTACAAAATAGGTTTGGTTGCTGATATCTAGGTTAGATAGAGGCAAGGTTTGAATTTGAACTATATACGAGTGAGGAGTCCCAAGATTTCTTGTTCTTGTGTAAAACTGGCAATATTACATTAATTAAGCACTAGTAGCAAGGCATTTTGGTGTGTTTTCCTTCACCTTTTCTATTAATGTCACTTCTCTTTACATGCATTATAAAGGTTGTTTTGTCCTGAATGGATATCCTCGTGTTTAGTTTAAATATCAAGTGACCCTATGTACTAGTACTACTATGCATTTTGGATACAATGATACACCGATAATTCATGCCATACGGATTTATTGAAATGTTACTTCATTATGAAATTTGATATTTACTCAGTGTCATCATGTCACGAACCCTGCCATGTGATGAGTTCTAGTGAGCACGGAAGGAGGGGACAGAACAGCTGGAGCAGAGCACGGGAGAGCAAGCTGAACAATTCAAACGCTCTACTAGCATCTACGGCCGGGCGCCTCAAACACCTCTCAAACGCCCGCGACAACAGCATGGTCATTGACCAGTGAGAAAAAAGTGACCCACATGGGTGTCTCAAACAGGGCACAAATGCCCGGACGGACCGTCACCTCTCATATCCATCCCATATCTGGGAGGAATATAAGGAGGCCCGGACGTGACCGGGCGCATCCGCCACATTTGATCCGGCCCATACTGGCCCATCCGACCCCACATATATTAGTCACATCCGCTCCGAGGACCAAACCCTAGCCACTCCACTCCACGTCACTCCCCACCCCCCCTCCCCCAAAGCTCCCGTCCGGCCGTCTGGCGGGAAGCGGATTTGACTCTAACCACTCTGGATCCTTTGCCTGGGGTGTCGTCTCAAGCGGGTTGGAGGAGACTATGGCCATCCGCATTGCCCTCTGTCGCTCGAGGGAGCACTGGGCCCGGCCGACGACGGGATCTGTCGGCCGTGAATCCATTGCATTGGTTCAGCTGGTGCTCGTATACTTTGGG